CTACGGACACACCTCAGCCTGGCTACTAATGAGGGTAAGGGCAACGGCAGGGGTGAGGAGGTTACTTGTGAGCTGTAGAGAAGACGAACAGGCAAGGGCTGGGAGGTAGTACCAACAGGTGGCACTTGAGCCACCTCTTTGGACAGCTGGGAGAAAGGGGATGCCACTTAGCTACTGGCAGTGAATTGGACTGTTGTCGGGAGAACTATCAGCCTCTAGATGGACCAGAGAACGTCCTAGATGTGAATGTTTGGTGCATTTACTCCGAGTTCTGGGCTGGTATGAGCCTTAGTCTTGATTTCAGGAAAATCATGTTTCTGGGACTTTCTTTTTGCTAGGTCTGTTCCCACCTTGTTCTCCTCTTGTTCTTTAGGAAACTCTAGCCAGGTTAAGAGAACAGCTTGTAAAGTGGTGCCTCTTGGGCCTTTTTTCCTGCAGATACCAGCCTATTGGGCAAGGACAGTCCTCCTACACCTACCATGTATAAGTATCGTCCAGGCTACAGTAGCAGCAGTACGTCAGCCGCCATGCCTCATTCTTCCAGCGCCAAGGTATTCAGTACTCTCTAAGAAGTGGGCTCGTAGCGTATGGCAACTGTTCTGGGCTAATGAAGATTGGGAGAAGGGAAGGAAGAGGCAGAGGGAAGAAACAAAAACCAAAGGCATTTTACTAATTGTTGGCATGAGTGGGATTGAATCTCCTTGATAGTGTGTCCTTTATCAAGGAGGGGGCAACGTAGCCTAATAGATAAAAGCACTGATTACAGCATATCTGAGTTCAAAACCCATCACCGGCAAGTTACTTAACCTCTCTAAGCCTCATTTTCTGCATCTTAATATGAGATATTATTTGTACCAACTCATAGATTTGCTTTAGTGGTTAAACAGGATAATGCATGTAAAAGTTTTAAGCATATTGCTGGCACATAACAAGTACTGTTTTTGATTGACTCGTTGGGCTCTGGGGCCTAACATGTGTCACAAGAAGAGGAGCACTAAGAGCCTGCTTTACTTTCTTCCTCAGTTGAGTCGTGGGGACAGCTTGAAGGAGCCAACGTCAATTGCAGAGAGCAGCCGCCATCCCAGCTACCGCTCAGAGCCCAGCTTGGAGCCAGAGAGCTTCCGTTCTCCCACCTTTGGCAAAAGTTTTCACTTCGATCCACTATCCAGTGGCTCACGCTCCTCCAGCCTCAAGTCGGCCCAGGGCACAGGCTTTGAGCTGGGCCAGTTGCAGTCCATTCGTTCAGAGGGCACAACTTCCACCTCCTATAAGAGCCTGGCCAACCAGACACGCAATGGAAGCCTATCTTATGACAGCCTGCTCACTCCTTCAGACAGCCCTGATTTTGAGTCAGTGCAGGCAGGGCCTGAGCCAGACCCACCTTTAGGCTACACCTCTCCCTTCCTGTCAGCCCGGCTGGCCCAGCAACGGGAAGCCGAGAGGCACCCACGTTTGGTGCCAACCGGCCCAGCACACCGAGAGCCCTCACCAGTCCGGTACGACAATCTGTCGCGCCATATTGTGGCCTCCCTCCAGGAACGTGAGAAGCTACTCCGCCAGTCACCCCCACTCCCGGGCCATGAGGAAGAACCAGGCTTGGGGGACTCGGGCATTCAGTCAACACCAGGCTCAGGCCATGCTCCTCGTACTAGTTCCTCCTCAGATGATTCGAAGAGATCACCCTTGGGCAAGACTCCACTGGGACGCCCAGCTGCCCCCCGTTTTGGCAAGCCAGATGGGCTAAGGGGCCGGGGACTAGGGTCCCCTGAACCAGGCCCAACTGCCCCATACTTGGGCCGATCTATGTCTTACAGCAGCCAAAAAGCCCCACCTGGTGTCTCTGAGACGGAAGAAGTGGCCTTGCAGCCATTACTGACACCCAAGTAAGTATTAGCCCATCCTGGCCCTCAGCGGACTTAAAATTAGCATACTGTCCTGTTAGGTATCAGGGCTACACTTGTACAGTCTAGTGCAAGTGGACCCAGGGTTAGCCTGCTTGTAGACAGCTCTTCATTTTCAGTCTTATTCCAGCTGCCTTCATAGGCCATTCCTGTTAAGAGACTGAATCTTAATCTTGTCTTGCTAAAAAGTAATTTATTTGCCTGAGAGTAACTATGCAAGATAGCTGCTATTAAAGAGAAGGAATAAATAGGGGAGAAAGGGAATCAGGCTTGTTTTAAGCAGGGCAATAAAACAAAAGGGAATGTTTGGGTAAGAAAGTATATATGTAGAAAAGTACCTCATTTTTTTCTCTTAACTTTTTAAACTATCTCCCTTTTTTGTGTTTTGTGTCTCACTTCCTGACACCTCTCTCTTCTTTTCTTCCCAGAGATGAAGTACAGCTCAAGACCGCCTACAGCAAATCCAACGGGCAGCCCAAGAGTATAGGCTCAGCCTCCCCTGGCCCAGGCCAGCCACCTCTCAGTAGCCCCACAAGGGGAGGAGTCAAAAAGGTGTCAGGGGTGGGTGGCACCACCTATGAGATTTCGGTGTGAGCCTTCGGCACCTCCCCTCCCCCATGCCTCTGCGCCTACACCAAAGGGCCCCAGGCGGCCACCTTCCTTTCCGCAAGGGGCTCCCCTCCCCTGTATGGACACTTTTGAAACCACCAATTCCAAGAGGATGAGGAGTGTTTCATAAAATGCAGTGGGGTTGGGGAGTCAGAGAGTTGGGGCTCTGAGACTGGGGTAGTAATCCCCTTCACCTTTTAAGACCTTCCCTTCCTTACCCCTGGACCAGACTCAGTGGACATTTGTGCAATTGCTCGCCCTGGAGGGAACCAGATCATTTTTAAAACCAGAAATAATTTTTTTTATTATTGTTACGGATTCTATTTTTTTCCTCTTCTGCGTTACCAGGTGTGTGTGTACATATATATATATATATATATATATATTATAAATATCAAAGAAATTATATATCTATCCTGGGATGGGAAAATGAGGGAGGGATATGTGTAAGGAGGGGGATCTTACTCTTCCCATTCCTCAAACCAGCAGGAAAAGAGGGGAGACATCGATCAAGTCTTCCTTTTCCCCATGGTTCCCTCTCTTTTGTCCCAGTCACCAACTAAGGAAATAGCACCCCCTGTTGTTGGTGCTAAGTGATCAGGAAAGATACCCGGGGAGAGGCGAGTCTGGGGTCTTGGTCAGAGGAGGGAAGGACTTGGAGAGCAGAGTTAGTTTTCTAGGCTCATTGGCACTTAGTTTCCCCAGGAAAGGGGTCACAGCCCCATGACGGGTGGTGGTGGGGAGATCAGGAAAAGAGCTTGGCCGAGCTCCAGAAACAATATTGAATAATCCCCCCTCCTTGGGGGAGAGGGATTAGGGTGGGCTTCTTCAAGTCCCCTCAAAGCCTTCCCCCAATTCACACAGTTAATATTATTTTTAGATCCAAGGCCGGGAGAGAAGAATCCAAAAAGCAATATTTTTCATCACATGCCAAAAACTGGGATAGAGAGAAGGAGTGGCAGGCCGAGGCCCCTCCGATTGTCTCTTGGGGGTTACCCCTCAGCCCACCTCAGTATGGTGCTGGGTAGAGGGGATACCTGGGTTCTAACCTCTAAATAGGGGAGACCCCAGCCTCTAGACAGAGGCCCTTTTATTTTTTATTCTGATTAGCCATTTTAAACCAACAAGGAATAAAAAGAAATCCTGATCTAACCAGCTCCCCCTGACTTGTGTTATTTTGTCTGGTTAAGGCAGGGTGAGTGATCTCTAGTGGGAAATTACAAATCGTCCCCGCTGGGCACGATTCCTGCCGGGCCAGAACTAAATGTGTAACGGACCCCCCCCAACTCCAGCAGATCTGTGCCTGCCCCTCTGAAGAGGTCCCTTCCCTGTCCCCTGTCTACCAAGACCGTCCTTTCCCAGTGTGTCCCTTCGGGCCGGGCCCGGCCCGGGGCCTCTAATAACAGAGCTAATTGTAAAGCACACAGAGAGGCAAGCAGAAAGAAATTAAATTACTGAATTAAAAAAAAAAAGTAAGTTCCCTGGTCCTGGCCCATCTTTAGGCAGGACTATAGTTAAAACAACAGGTCCTGTTTTTATTTTGGTGATTTAATTCAAAAATTCCTGAAGAAATCTTTTGCACACCAAAGCTTGTCATTTCAAAGCTTAGAGAACTCTTGACTTGTGGCACAGTTGTTCCTTAATACAGAATTTTATCTCTGGAAAGTAAAGCTCATTTTGGATGTAGCCAAAGGTGAGACAGTGGATGATCAAAGTATGAAAGCCTGTTAAGGGCTGATTAGCTGGATATATGGGTGGCAGTTCAATTTGATATCTCATATTTTCTCTTCTATTTGTTGAAAGTAAAGGCTCTGCCCTAATTTTAAATAGGCATCCTCAGACACTAAATCTTAGAAAACTGGCCAGAACCCTTTATTTTCACTATCCATATATAAACTCTTGCTCTGAAATCCTAGATTAAAACGAGCTGAGGGCTGGCCTGGTGGTGTAGTGGTTAAGTTCAGGGTGCTCCGCTTTGGCAGCCTGGGGTTCATGGGTTTGGATCCCAGGTGTGGACCTACACCACTCATCAAGCCATGCTGTGGCTGCATCCCATGTACGAGTTGGAGGAAGATGGGTACAGGTGTTAGCCCAGGACCACTCTTCCTCAAGCAAAAAGAGGAAGATTAGCAACAGGTGTGTTAGTTCAGGGCCAATCTTCCTCACCAAAAAAAAAAAAAAAAAGAGCTGAATGAGTGGTTTTCTGCCTATTGATCTAAGAACAACCTTGGCTCACAGCAACAGATTTTTAACTGTTCTATGTCGAATTTAGCTTCAAGTCAGATTACATTAACTTGGTTTTTCTCATGGATGTTTTCAGTTATCTGGCCTGCTGCAAAAACTAAAGAGATTTATTTTTACATTTTGCTAGTTTAGGCTGCCTTTTTGTTGCTGTCTTAGACACTTAGAAATGTTTTCTAATCTCCTTGTCTTAACTAAGGAATGAGGCAGGTCAAAAGTTCTTATTATAAAGACAAGAGAAGCATTTACTTTTGCTTGCCAGAGGTTTATTTTAAAAAATCATAGGCTTGACCAAGAATCGACCTTGTTGAAATACATTGGTGATTGTGGGTGCTTCTTCAGTTGGCTGTTCTGTTTCAACACAAAATGACCTACCACACAGTTGAGCCTTAACCGGATCAGCTCTTCAGATGGAGTCTGAAGATCATCCAGGTACTTGCTTCTCAACATTATGGGCAGAGTCTTATGTGGCTGCTGTGGAAGTATTAGCAAGCTCTGCCTTACTTTTGGACCATGTTCCCCAATCTCATTTTGGTTGTTTCCCTGCCTGCTGATCAGATAATATAATACAAGACCCGAATCCCCTCAGATCTCAACATGCCTTGGCTTAAACCCTGAATCTCACGGAAAGGCACTTACCTCTTAACAGGGAGCCACACTTCAGCCAGTTGATAAACACAATTTTTTTTTTTGAAAAGAAAAACCCTAACAAATGAGTTAAAGTCCTAAATCAGGCAAATTGCACAAAAGAGATGAAAAGAAAGCTTTCTGGGAGAGGACGAGATGTCCATGAGAAAGCCATCTGGGGTGAGCCTTACAAAAGCATGGCCCTTCTCTCTTACAACGCATCAATCTTAACCGAGCACAGTAGGAGCTGGCTTCTGTCCCACCCGTAGGGGATGCTCCCAAGGCAGTGTCCAAGAGCCGGGAAGGCAGCTTTTGTCATCAGGTTCAGTAGAGCAGGAAAAGTTCTTCTGACAGAGTCCTGTGGTCCTGTTAGCGGAGGCTGCTGCTGCTGCTGGCCTGAGAGCTGCCCATACCTGGGTGATCTGGACTGTGTCGGTTCTGGGGAAGACAAGGAAAGGGAGGGGTAAGAGAACAACTGGGAAGTAGCCTTGGCTTTGACCAGGGCTGTACAGAAAAAAACTGCAGGGCCGGCCCCATGGCTTAGCGGTTAAGTGCATGCACTCTGCTACTGGCGGCCCGGGTTCAGATCCCAGGTGCGCACCGACGCACTGCTTCTCCAGCCATGCTGAGGCCGCGTCCCACATACAACAACTAGAAGGTTGTGCAACTATGACATACAACTATCTACTGCGGCTTTGCGGAAAAAAAGAGGAGGATTGGCAATAGATGTTAGCTCAGAGCCAGTCTTCCTCAGCAAAAAGCAGAGGATTAGCATGGATGTTAGGGGCCGGCCTGGTGGCGCAAGCAGTTGGGTGCGCGTGCTCCGCTTTGGCGGCCCGGGGTTTGCAGGTTTGGATCCTGGGCGCGCACTGTCGCACTGCTTGTTAAGCCATGCTGTGGCAGCATCCCATATAAAATAAAGTGGAGGAAGATGGGCACAGATGTTAACCCAGGGCCAATCTTCCGTAAGAAAAAAGGGGAGGATTGGCATCGGATGTTAGCGCAGGGCTAGTTGTCCTCACACACACAAAAAAAAAGCATGGATGTTAGCCCAGGGCTGATCTTCCTCAAAAAAAAAAAAAAAAAAAAAGAGGAAAAAAGAAAAAGGAAAAAAACTGCAGCCTGCCTGGGGTTTTATCTTGGGTCCAACCTGAGGCAAAGGACTCTGCCTAGGCCAGGGGTGAGACATGGGGGAACTTACTGGGCTGTAGCAACAGGCCCCTACCTTACCTTCTTTTTCTTCTTCTCTTTCTTCTTCCTTTTCCGTTCAGGATCCTCTTCTTTTTTCTTCTTCTTCTTCTTGTGATCCGAATCAGATGGTGTTTCTGTAGGAGACATTAGGTGCCTATCACCCGCAGAGCTCAAGATTCCCTACAGCTAGGAACTTGGAAGACTACAGGACAACCCCTAGTCAAGGGCAACTGCTTTTCTTCAAATGGCCAGAAAGGAATGGAGGCCCTGCTAAAGCCCCTGTCCTAAGTTCCTATTGCCCAGGAGACACCATTCCATCAGTCTCTTTCAGGAGAATTTGGGAGTCCAGTGCTCCATAAGGAACTTAACTGGGCTTTTAACTGAGGAAGGTTGAACCAGATGCAGAATGTCAGGTTTTCTGGCTTTGAATAGAACTGCTGCTTACCTGGGGGGACAGGATCCTGGGTACGGCTCTGTTTGTGCTTGTGCTTATTCTTCTTCTTGGGAGGCTGAATATGCATCAGACGACACTGCTCTGGCAACTGAAGGAACCAGAGCAAGTCCAGGTGAGTAGAGGGAGGAAATCCCCTGCTCCCATCACCTGTTCTGCTCAGTAAGTTATGAAGGAACCGACCCGGACAGAAAAACACCTCCGTGCCGTTCAGGTCCCCCCATTTGCCCTCTTCCTCCCCAAGGGCAGACTCACCGGGCCAGTGTGGAGGCGGAAGCCTGCCAGCATGGTCCCTGTGATAGGATTAAAAGAGCCACCAAGAATAGGGGGCTTCTCAATGAGGGAGCGAAGGCTGCTGTTATCATGGGAACCAGGCAGATCAATCATCCCTGGCAGATCAGGCAGGAAGTTACTTAGCTTCTCCTTCACCTTCTTCCCACAGAATTTATTATAGGCATGTTCCAGGTTGTAGTGTGTGATCAGATTGGTGCTGCCTGTCAGCTCTGTGCTGCCTGGAGGACGGGGAGAATAAGAAAACAGGATTAGTCCCAAGAGTAGAAAATTGTTTAAGTCATTGACCCTGAGGGAAAGTGAAGGACTATGTTTTGGCCTAAATAAGGAATCTTTTAAGTGAGAATTGCAAAATTTAAATTTATTTTTAAAGTAAGAAACAGCAAAAGTAACATATGATAAACACTAAAAATACAATACTATAGAATGGTGAGTTGGAATGGGAATGAGAAAAACACAGGCAAAAATCCAAACAGGGCAGAGATGGAAACTGCTCTAATCCAATGAAGGAGACACTCTCCTCTGCTTGGACTGACCAGAATAATAACTTACATGACACTTACTCCCTGCTAAACACTGTTCTGAGTGCTTTTGATAAAATGTACTAGTGAGAAATTATACTGTGAGACACGACCAGTATTATCTCACAGCTCAGCTACAACCAAGCTTAAGTCCAAATATGACCCAATGGCTTGATGGCTTGAGTATCTTGTCAAGGACTTTCCATTTTTTTTTTTTTTATTAGGAAGAAACATTAATCACCTTTACATAGAAAAACAGCCAGGAGATTTTTCTAGCTACTGCTGCCTAACTTTTGTTGTCACCATCTCCATTCGTCCTCATAATACCAACTACAGTGCTTTGCTTAAAAGACAGAAACATTTGATCAGAAGTTGGGCAACTAGAATTCTAATCCTGGCCATCCTCTATGCCTCAGTTTCCTCTTATCTATGGAATGGGGTTATAATTATCTTAACTACACTAAATTCTTCTTCAAGGTTCAAATGAAAACATTGAAAAGTATAAAGTATTATATAAGTGCAAGGCATTATCAATATAAATATTGCATGGCTGACTTTTTCAAAGAATATAAACTTATTAATAACTTAATAAGGATCCAGTGGCAAGGGTGGACATATCTAGCCTACAGTTTCATCTAGAGTTATGATGAACACAAAGGGTACAAATGATAAAAGTGGCTTGTTTATAATCATTCACTTGGGAAAACTCAGGTTCTGAACTGTGAGCCCCTTGAGGGCAGAGACAATGTCTTGTTCATTCAGGTATCCCTGGTACACACAGTACCAGGGATCCGAACCTGGGAACCCTGGGCCGCTGAAGTGGAGTGCGTGCACTCAACTGCTACGCCACTGGGTAGGCCCCTCAATTTCTCTTTTTTACACTCCAAATCTTCCTTACCTCACTCATGGTTTCTCTATTTCAATACGTGGCACCCACATTCTCCAGATATTTTTATTTATTTTAATTAATTAATTAATTAATTTGGTGAGGAAGATTGGCCCTGAGCTAACATCTGTGCCAATCTTCCTTTATTTTGTATGTGGGACGCCACCACAGCATGGCTTGACAAGCAGTGCGTATGTCCGTGCCCGGGATCCGAGCTCACGAACCACCAGGCCACCGAAGCGGAGTGCGCAAACCTAATCACCATGCCACCGGCCCAGCCCCTGCAGATATCTTTAGAAGCAGTACTCCTCAGTTCAGAAATCTCAATGTTCCTATTACCCCCAGGAAAAAGCTCAAATTCCTTTGGCATTTGCGGTAAAATACATCTTACTGTAACTTAGCTTTGGGGCCTGATCAACCACTACTGCCCTGTGCAAAACTGCTGATCCATCCAAATGGGTCTCCATCATCTCCTGAAAAAAACACCCCTCATATTGTTTCCTTTTAGGAAATTTCTTTTAGGAAAATTGACCTAATTATAGGAAACTTCCTCCTAATTTTCTTCACTAATATGAATTCTTCAAGGTCTAGCTCAAGTGACAACTTATTCCTGCTGTTAACTTGGATAACAAGGGACACATTTTGAAGACCATCATGTAGTTCTTAATAGTTGTATGTGAGTCATGACCACAAAGTAATGAGACTGGCCTTGACAAGAAACAGTCACTACTTTATCCTTAGACCACAACTTTGCATCCCTAAGTAAAATAAGCTCCTTAAAAGCAAGGACTGGGCTTATTAATCTCTCTCCCCTTCTCATCACATGTCCCCTTTCCTACACATCCAGCATTTGCTCAAAACAGATATTCAATATCTGTCAAGTGATTGATATAAAAAGGTACAATCAGAACAGGTAAGGTTAAAGAAACTGCTGGTAGACATCAACCACTAACCAAAGGAAAGTCAACCTCTCTGTGCTTCAGTTTTTTCAACTACAAAATGCAATAACAATGCCTATCTCGAGGGGCTGTTCTAAGTATTAAATACTATGACATATATAACTGCCTTGTGAACTTCAAAGTACTGTACCAACATTCATTATTATTTCCCTCAACTCTTTTTTTTTTTTTTTTTAAAGATTTTATTTATTCATTTTTTTCCCCCCAAAGCCCCAGTAGATAGTTGTATGTCATAGGTTCACATCCTTCTAGTTGCTGTACGTGGGACTCGGCCTCGCGTTGGACGGAGAAGTGGTGCCTTGGGGCGTGCCTGGGATCCGAACCCAGGCCGCCAGCATCAGAGCGCACGCCCTTAACCGCTAAGCCACGGAGCCGGCCCTCCCTTAACTCTTGATGTGGCAGTAGGTCATGGGATGAAGTGAAAGGCATCTTGAAGACTTAACATGTATAAGATGACTCTTGATTTCCACCTCCTCAAAGGTGGAAATCTTTGTTTCCACCTTCCATCCTTGTTCTTTCCTGGTCTTAGCGCTACCATCCACCCAATCATTCAAGCTAAAAATTTCCAAATCATTCTCAATTCCTCTCTCCTTCATTTCTATATGTAGTCCTTCATTCCTGCTCTACCTCTAACATTTATCCTGCATCCACTTACTTCTCTCCTCCACTGCTATTGCCTAGTCCAAGCCATTATCTCTTTGCCGGACTACTAAGCAGTAACTCTCGACTGATTTTCTCACTTTGCTTTCTTAATGTAGCTGCTTGAATGATTAAAAATAAATAAGTTATGGGGCTGGCCCTGTGGTGTAGTGGTTAAGGTCATGCCCTCTGCTTTGGCAGCCCAGGGTTCGCAGGTTCGGATCCCAGACACGGACCTACACACTGCTCATCAAGTCATGCTGTGGCAGTGTCCCACATACACAACAGAGGAGGACTGGCACAGATGTTAGCTCAGTGACAATCTTCCTCAAGCAAAAAGAGGAAGATCGGCAACACATGTTAGCTCAGGGCCAATCTTCCTCACCAAAAAAATAAAATATAATAAAAAATAAGTTAGATCATGTCACTCTCCTGTGTTAAAATGGCTTCCCCCTGAACTTAAAATCTAAATGCCTTACAAGGCCTCTGCCTATTCCTCCCACCTTCATCTCCTCTCACTCTTTCTTTTGTTCAATTCACTGGAGACCAACTGCTCTTTGGTCCCTCAGATATTCCAAGGTTTTTCTCACATCAGGCCTTCTGATCTCATTTCTTGTATCTAGAATTATCCCTCCCTCCCACTCATAAATGGCTGACTCTTTCTCTGTGTTTACATTTTAGCTCAAATGTAATGTACTCAGAGAGGGCTTCTCTAATCATTCTAGCTAAAGTAGTTCTGCCCCCTCAATTTTTTTATCACGTTTTCTCCTTGTAGCAATAACCACTGTCTGATATTATCTTTTTTACTTTTTGCCTCCTCCACTGACATATAAACTCCAAAAAAGGCAACGATCTTGTGAGTCTTGTTCGCAGCTGTATCTTCAGCATTTAGAACAGTGCTCGGTACACAGTAGGTGCTCAACAAAATAATTTTTTGAATGAAAGAATGTTGTTCAATTCGAATCACTTCTTCAAACAGCTGAGGAAACGCTGAGGCCCTGAGGAGGGCAGCTTGCCCCAAACCGATAGCAAGTTTGTGGCAGACTTGGAACTAAAACCTTACGTCCGCAGGGATGTTAAATCAGGACTCTCGAGTTCCAAACTCGAACCCTGGATAGCTTCTAGGGAGCCATAAGCCAGTGTCAGGGAGAGGGGCCGGACAGGGCGTGAAAGATGATCACGGGGATGCATTCTTTTCCCATCCCCAATCCATCCCAAGAATTCATGCCATTCCTTTGCTTGTGAATCCTCAGAACCCTTCGGACTTAAGAGCTCCGAAGTCCCAGAACGCGTTGCCTAGGTTACGCCTCACCTCCGCCGGCGGGCTGAGAGCCACGCCCCTCACTTCATCGCTATGATCTGATTGGCTGGTTTCGGCCAGGCCTAGTACTCACCTGGCAATTCCCGCATTAGGTAGAAGGGACCGCAACCCGCCGCTGACTTGTCGGCGCCGGGAGGGGCCGTGGCTGCGGTGGGGGGCGGGGCCGTGCCGGGTCCCCCGCCCGGAGGAGGGGGAGGCGGGGGTGGAGGCTTTCCCGGTCCGAAGCCGAGTGCGGTTGGGGGCGGTGGTGGGTCAGCCTGAGCCCCGAACAGCGCCGTGAAATTCTCCATCTTCCCCTCCGCGCCGGCGGTGTTCGGGTGCCTGACGTTGGTGATTCTCATTGGACAATCCTTTTACGGGGTACCGCCCCCTTCCTCCAGGAGCCGCTTATCATTGGATTGCCTCGGGCCCCGCCCACTTTCTGCCGGCAACTACTTCCGTCGCTGTTTGAGAACGTTCAGGAAGCGCTGTCTAACCATATTAAATTCTTTCTGATGTCTTCGCTCGCCGTAGTCACATGTCCAATAAAATGTCTTGGGGCGGGAGAAAAGCGACAGCTAGATTGACCAATAGAGTATCAGATCCCTCTCTCAGTTCTTACCCACCGTAAAGTCCAATTAGATCTAATTCCGGGTCCAGAGGCGGTGCATCCGAGACCAGGCCCAATGTGGGGAGAGACGGTTACCTGACCAACGGACGCCGAGGAGCTGCGGGCTCCGCAACGGCCGAAAAGATGGCGGTCCTGGCGCCTTTAATTGCTCTGGTGTATTCGGTGCCGCGACTTTCACGATGGCTGGCCCGACCTTACTACCTTCTGTCAGCCCTGCTCTCGGTGGCCTTCCTACTCGTGAGGAAGCTGCCCCCGCTCTGCCACAGTCTCCCCACGCAACGCGAAGACGGCAACCCGTGTGACTTTGACTGGGTGAGCGACCCCCGCCCGAGGACCCCGCGACCTTGACTTCCCTGCCCCCGCGGTTGCATCCGGGGGCCTTGAGGTTCCCCTTTTTGAGAACACCTGAGGTTCCGAGGCTGTAGCGGACTTCCAGACCATTAGCGTGTAGGGTCGGACCGTCATCGCTCTAGACCTCTGCATGTTTAATTAAGATGGGAAAACAGCGGGTTAGCCTGCACAGTAACCTGGGTCTTCTGACTCTGGAGTCCAGGGTTCTTTCCATCTTACCATTCATAGTTGTCAATAGCCCTACCTCACAAGACACATGTACAGTGTTTCACAGTGCTGCTCATATGGAGAGCCTACTGAGAGCCAGTGAGGTAAACAAGGCAAATGGTATTTACTTTTTATTGATGAAGAAATGGATCTCAGCGTGGTTTGGCGACTTGCCCAAGGTCACACAACGAGTGAGTGCCTGGGGTTTGAAACCACTCTTCTGGCCATAGTACCTGCACACTCACAGCCATTTCTTAATTCAGTTAACATTTCCAGAGTGCGCGCAGTATGCTCGGCACTGTGCTGCATCCTGAGAATGCAAAAATGAATAAAATTGTTAAGCCTATTGAAAAGGAATTGTAAAAAATATCTTGTGAAGAAATCTGTCTCAAGCCTCTTGCTGTACTTCCTGACTAAGAATGGAGGGACCACTCAGAAAAATGAATGGAAGCTCTGTGCCCTCTGGTGTATAGCAGCATCTGTGTTCTGAGGAAGGAAGGTCATCCTGAGTTTTCATCTTGTTTTCCAGCCTCCTCAAATGAGTCTTGACCTTTGCTAGAACCTACTCCTTTACTTTTATCCTCCATCTCTTGTTTACTCTTTAATGCTTTGTCTGTCCTTTCCCAGACAGTATTATCAATTAGCTCAAATGTTGCCATGCTATTTCAAAAGATCCTATTTTTGTCTGATATTCTATACCACTTTAACCAAAATGGAACTCAAAAATATAAGTGGATAGTAATAAAGATTTTAATAAATGTAGAACCTTTTATACAATTAATTTCTCTGTATACTCGTCTAATAATATGCAAAATATTGGAAGGTTTTTTATTTTATTATTACTCTGATAGAATTTTTTTTTTAACTACTTCGGGTTTATGGCCAGTGTTTGTTTTCCCGGAAAATACGTGTTTTACTGATTTACCTTGGTGATTGGGAAGTTAGGATGTTAAGGTAAATAATGTTAGCAATAACAGGTAAAATTCAAAATTTCAATGGCTTAACAGAACAAAAGTTTATTTCTATTTTATTAAATAAAAGGAAACATTTCACGTTTCTTAGATATACTGTGTTTCAGAGTAATCAAATAATTGATAAGAGAATGTTGATTTCTTAATATAAGAATTTGGGTTAATACAGAAGGAATGATAGAATTTAAAAATTATTTAGTAGCCCCAATGAAATAATGAATCGAGGCAATGATCATCGGTGGATGCTAAAACCATCAGATGAAAGGTTAATGTGTCCTCTGAAGTGATGCAGTGGGGAGTACCTAGCACCACCTATGATACATTTTTGGCAAAAAATTTGGATTTTATTGTATTCAGACCTCTAGATTTCATTACCACTTTACAAGAAATATGGGAGATGGAGGATCATCATTAGAAAAAAACATACCATGAGTATGAAGGCAGCCAAATCTTAAGAGCAAGAATGTTGACGGTGCAAGTGACTCAATGCCTTCAACAGATAAATGGCTGGGGGGTAAAAAGGAAGGGCAGATATATTAGAGATTAAGGAAGAACAAGGACACACATCAGCCAAATGCAGTACGTGGATCTTGCTTGCTTGTTCCTGATTTGAACAAACAACTGTAGAAAGACAACTTGAGATAATTGGGATCATTTGAATAATGACCAAATATTAGATGACAGTAAGGAATTATTGTTAATTGTGTAAGGTATGATAATGGGATTTTGCTTTGTTAAAAAAAGTCCTTATCTGTAAGAGATACACACTGAAGTATTTATAGGTGAAATGATATCGCTGGAATTTGTTTTAAGTTTCCCCAGCAAAAAAAGTGGGTAGCATAGATGAAATAGAACCATTTTGGCAAAATGTTACTGTTGAAGCTGAGTAATAGGGGTTCATTAAAGTATTGTGAGGAGGAAAATTAATTTTCCCTCTACCCTTCTGAGGGCTTGGCTGAAACCCCTGTAATAAAAGACAGACTAGATAATTAAAAGACAAATAGAAGTTTATTAACATGTATGTCTCATGTATACATGGGAGATACCAGGGGAAAACGAGTAACTCAAAGGGGTGGCTTAGAACTCCACTTATACAGCATCTTCAGCAAAGAATGATAAATTTGTCAAGAAATGGCTGGACAAAGGAAAGCAGTTTTAGGCTTCCAAGGGCGACAGACTGTGGGAAAGTAAACTAATGGTAGGTAAAGGCTAGTTTGCTAGGTAGATTGCTCTGGCGCTGTCTCCAGGCTGATAGGGTCTAAAGTTACCTCCCTTGATTAACTTTTGTCCTTCCTGGTAGAGAGGGTTGGAGGGATACCTTTGAAAATTTATGTCCTGCTTTTAGACAGATGGGGAGAGTAGGCAGCTTTTCTTTTATCTACTTCTCAATTGCCTTCAGGCTCAAAATAATCCTTATGCCAAAGTGACATATTTTGGGGTGGCATATTCTGTTACTCTTCAGTATCCTCTCTATCCTTTTGTATGTGTTTGAAATTTTCTATAACAAAAAGTTTAAAAACAATGAATGAACAAGCAGAACAACCAAGGGACCTCTGCTTCACACAGTTATTCTGGAACCCAGTCTCATTCTGTCTTCAACCTATGGCCTTCCTAGCATCATCCAGCCAGCGGATGCTGAAAGAAAGCTGGAATGCAAGGATACACCCTTTCTTAACTGCCTAGGCGCAGTGGCACATCACTTCCACTCACATTCTGTCCAGGAGTACTAGTCATACAGTTCTGCCTAGATGCAAGGAGACTGAGAGTCTAGTTGCAATATGCCCAAGAGGCAAAGGAAATAAGGTTTTGAGTATACATAGCCAGTCTTTGCCATAGACCCATTCTCTATCTTTAGAGAATATTCCTTTTAGTCTTATCTTTGGTCTTCTGATTGACCACAGCTCCCTTTTAAAATTCCCTTTTAAAATTCATCTTTCCACAATTGTAAATCCCAATTCTAAACCAATTTCATTCATGGAAACTCTTCTTCATTTTTGCTGAGGTATAACATTTAGTAAGGTCTGTCAGGGCCGGCTCTGTGGCTTAGCGGTTAAGTGCGCGCGCTCTGATGCTGGCGGCCTGGGTTCGGATCCCGGGCGCGCCCCAAGGCACCACTTCTCCGTCCAGCGCGAGGCCGAGTCCCACGTACAGCAACTAGAAGGATGTGAACCTATGACATACAACTATCTGCTGGGGCTTTGGGGGGAAAAAAATGAATAAATAAAATCTAAAAAAAAAAAAAAAAGGTCTGTCATCTTCCTTAACCCCCACTTTACGTGTCCATTTCTAAATCTAGTCAGTTACTTTTTGTTGGAGATTGAGGCTAAAAACCTAGGTCCCTGACTCCTACCTGTAAACTGCTGTTGACTGGTTCTGTCTGCAGTAATGATTTGGGTCCCTGTATTACAAACAAAAGGTATGGAGGCTTTGGACCATCAAATCTATAGTTGCTCCTCCTCCCATGTTTTTTCTCACATGGTTTTTGCTATTCTTCATTGTGGTCTTTACTCTGAAATTGTCTTGTTTGTTTCTTTGTCATGTTTATTGTCTGTCTCACTTGCTCATAATGGAGCTTACATTCTAGAAGGTGAGAAAGAACTATAAGCCAAGGGTACTGAAAAGGGCCTTTGAGAGCTCTGAAAGCCCTCCTTCAGTTCTCTAATTAAATTAAAGGTGCATGGATTATTAGGTGGAAAGGAATGACTTAAGTTAAGCAAAACCAAACAAATTGAATAACCGTATGTTGTATTAATGGAATATTACTGAGAAAATTCCCTGGAAAAGTTTTATTTTTCCAGGATCACACTGAGTTGGTTGTAATATCTTACAGTTTTACACCATATACTTTATACAATTCTTTCATACCAGTTATCTCATTTAATCCTCACAAGAGCAATTTGAAAAAGATCTTGTTCAGTCAAGGAAACCAAAGTCAGAGGTTAAGTGATTTGCTGAAAGGCACCAGCCAGTTTGTGGTGGGGTAGAACCTGAACCTAGATCTGACTGGTGTTTTCCCATTATACCTTAGCTGACTCCAGTTATTTCTTTATTGTTGCTGTAACCATGGGCCCACTAGGACCAGTTCGAACTGACCCCTTCTTATCAACAGAGGAGTGATTAAGAGTTGTTTTTCAGAGGCAGTGTGCAAAAAAAAAGTTGCAAGTCACGTAGCCAGAGCACGTGCAGAGGAGAAAATCTTGACCTGAAATGACACCAGAACCAAAGATTCTCCCCCACCACGGAACCAAAGGACTAGGACATGACCGGAAGTTGCAAGTCGGACTCTTATCAGAAGGGAGGAGTCCGTTGTCTAGGAAGATCCAATGATAAAGC